CTTTCGCTCGAACTGATTTGCTGAAATCAAAACAGGGACGATAATAGGTGAGCGCCAGCCAATGAGATTGCCGTTTGCGCATTAGTTCCGCCCACTACCGGAGAAAGCGGTAGTTCTTAAAAGCGGAAGAATTCCAAAGGAACTCCGTTAATTTGACAGCAAAATACAACAAAGAATATCGTTTACATGTAGCGTGCATAGGTAGCGCGTCAATTCTCTCTCTCCCTCTCTCGCTGCGTGTTTGTGAAACAAAGCGACGGCGAGTAAAATTTTGTCGCATATGCGAGTGATTTACTCGCAATGTAGAGGGTTGTTTATGGTGATCAACCATCCACCAGGGTAGGATAAATCCTAATAATAGTAGGCCAAGCAGAGCGCTAATTTTACACACATTCTCATGTTGAAATGTGCTACATGCGTCCATCAGCTGGACTGACATCGGCTGTCATAGAGTGATGGGCTTCCTTTGAATTCAGTGTGGAGGAAAGCATCAAAAAGACATGATATTATAGTACAGAGTGGCAGTGAGGCATTCTCATGGAGAACGGACAGTTACATGAATCACACCGCCATGGTCCTGTGTTATCCTGGTTCGGACAGAGTTACTGAATGACTTTCTACAGATGGTGACCAGCAGGGATGGTATAATGAGGTGGCATCGGTGGAGATCCGTTTCATGTGTGTGCATTTGTTGCTGTCAGTTAGGTATTTGTGCATGTGTATAGATTATACTCCCGCACACACGTTTGTCGCAAGTATCGGGCACACCTTTATCTGAACAGATTGTTCAGAGAGGTCTGTGCAAATGTCCTCTTGAGCCTGTCATGTAGACTGCCGTCACCCGGTATCTGAGAAGTGTTAATTAGCGTGAAAGTGGGCAACAGAGGTGTCAGCAAAACTCCCTCCTCCTTGCAACACACACACACACACACACACACATACACTTATACCTGATGTGTGCAACCTACCTCCACCTCAACCTCCCCGCAACCAGACCGCCGCTATGAGAGCCGACCGAATGTAATTAAATTCCTGCATGTTTTAGACTCAGCCTGTCAGTGTTTAATGGGAGGAAACGAGAGTATCTCCTGCACTAAACGTGTTGAGAAAGGAGATAAGAAAGGGTAAAGGTTGGTGGCGTAGATGAAAAGGACAACAATATAAACAATAGGCAACAATCATTCACATAATCACAGTCGTTTTGTGCCACACGGCTACACAAAGCATTATCCCCAGCTGGACTGATGTTTTTTGGTTCAACTGAAATTGAAAAGGCCCTGTTTTCACCTGGTATTAAGATGCGTTTTCAGTGATCCGATCACAAGTGGTCAGCAAAGACACATACTGTTCCACCTGGTATTAAAATGCATTTCAAATGTGTCTCCTGTGACTATTTCTTTGTGGATTTCCAACATCTACATTACAAAAGCAATCCGGTTAAGGCTTGAGTACCTCTGGAAGAGGACAAGTTTATAACATTTTAGACCCTGTTTACACCTCTATTTAGCATCGTCCACTTGTGATCAACGAAAAATGTTATTGTACAATCACGAAAAATATCCTGAGTTATTCCCCAGAGATGTATTTTTAACCAATCACCAGCGTGGTTGTATGTGTGTAAGAAGGTGTTGGGCCGTGTTTGTGAATGCTCGTATGCATGATCGTTCATAAGTGTTTTTGTTTGTAGCTGGTCATGATCCGTGAGGTATAGGCTACAGCTATGTGTGTGTGTGTGTGTGTGTGTGTGTGTGTGTGTGAGAGAGAGAGAGAGTGTTACCTGTCAATCCATACAGTTCGTCTGTAACATAGTTAACAAAGTCATCACCAGGGAAAACATCTTTTTCTTTTTAATATCAAAATGGTGTTTGATGATTAAGCTTGGCAATTAGCAGATAAGTTACAAAGCAATCATAATCAAGGACCAGAACTATCCATTTTATTACATAACACAGTGCTCCTCCTCTCATGGCTTCATCTGATTGGGTGGCATCATACACTAAGGCCCTGTTTCCACTTGGTATTAAGATGCGTTTTCAGTGATCCGCTCACAAGTGGTGAGCCAAGAGACATACTGTTTCCACCTGGTCTTAAAATGTATTTCAGATGTCTCTCCTGTGACCGGTTGTTTTTGGATTTCCTCGAGACACTCCCCTCTTATTCCGTCACACTCTACATAAGCTTTGTGGGAGTGCAGAGTGTGGTGTACGAGTAGGATTTACTGAACAAAACTTGTGTTATGCAAAACAAATGAAAAGGATAAAGACAGCAGCTACAATTTCGACCACAATCAGTGTGTTTTGGTACAATGTAGCAGAGTTGTAATCATGTAGCGCATTTTCTCACAACACGTCCCACAGTGATTGCATATTATGTTAGTAGGCGGTCTTTTGTGGGTTTTTGAATGTATTTGGCCACATTAACGTCAACATAAGCAATCTGGTTAAATTTCGACTTCCTCTGGAAGTGGTCAAAAGTGGACAAGATTAAAATGTTTTAGACCCAGTTTACACCTGTTTAGCATTGTCCACTTGTGATCGGATAAATGAAAATCTTAACTTCAGGTGTCTAAACAACTAGATTGTCATTGTGCAATCACAAAAATATCCTGAGTTATTCCCCATAGGTGTTTTTTAACCAATCACCGGTGTGGTTGTATGTATGTAAGATGGTGTGGGCTGCGTTTGTGAACGCTTGTATGCATGATCGTTCCTAAGTGTTTTTGTTTGTAGCTGTGTGTGTGTGTATGTGTGTGAGGGAGCTCTTGCTTCTCAGCCATCAGATGTGATGCAGACTGTCAGCTGGGGAATCATACCTGGCTCCATGCTAGAGCAGTCGGCCTTCATATAGTCCAGTAGCCACTGATTGTCAGGACTGAGGTGTTGGCAGAGGGATCCAGTGAGTGCAGATGCTGAGGGTGTGGAGAGGGGGTGGGGGATGGGGACGACTTGAACACTGCCAACATCAAGAGCAAAAATGGACCTTGGTTTCACCGTACTGCAGGTGATACAAGCACATGGAGACTCGTAGATTTTTAGCATAGCTGCTCCGCTTATGGCACTTTATTCAGTCCGCTTAAAACCTGTGAAGGTTTTTCTGAATGTATAACATCACTGTGTGATATTCAGAAGATGTGGGATACACAGTAACGTCTTTGCATAGGGTGTGCTATTATGCTATCATTTTAAAGCAATATGCATGTTTTGTAAACGGAAGCATTCAATTGTGACTTTAATCTGAGGTTCCAAGAGGTGAACATTCTCACAAATGAGATTAAATCTTTTATTGCACTGTATTTTGTAAAAAAAAATTATTATGATGTGCTTTTTTGAAAATAAATTTATATTTTTCATTGGAATTTGCTTTTGTTTCTGCCTTTTGCATTCAGCACAAAAGCTGTCAAGATTGACTCAGAAAACAACACTCAGCTATTAATGTTATTGCACCATGAGATATTGTATTTGATCAAATTATTTATTTTTATTTATTTGTAATGATATAATAACCATATTTTAAGTCTTGTAAGAGCTTATGACATGAGTGGTGCAAAAAGTATTTTATTTTTTGTAATGCTATGAGTGAATGTTATGATAAGTCTTATAAGGGCTTATGAAAGTGAGGGGATTAAAAAGTCAAAAAAAAAAAACTACGTTACTTGTAGGTAAAAATATAATGTAATAGGATATTACTAGCCCATGTGAAAGTAAAAATGCATTGCAGGATGCATTCATTGTATAGCAGCAGTGACTAAGTCAAAAGCTCAAGCCATACGGACACAGAGGCTTAATAAAAGCTGACAGCTGTCACTCTGCCTCTGACATGTGTCAGGAGAGGACTACCTTTATATGGACATGGCCCTACACCACTCTTTGAGAGTTTCTGTAGATAACACAGAATGCACACGTGTACAAAAAAAGCTGTTTTGAAACCTATATGGTTCAGAGGAGTCTCCCTTATTGTGTTGTAGTATACCGAAAAACAATAATCTCTTAGGCTATAGGAATATGCACAAAAATACATATACAATTTGATTAAGCTTACAGCTAATGGTATAAAAATATACACATTTGGCTTGAAAAGCTGCTGGCCTCCGGCAGTATGTGTAGCAGATGTGTTATTTTGCATGTTTACTTCTTGCTGAACAAATCAAGAAACCATCCAAAGCTTCCTGTTAAGCTGTCAACATCTGCAAACCACAGAGCTATTTACACACAAAATGTATGTGTATTTATGCCTAAATATGTAGAAAGATAAATACAATGTTATGCTTTGGATCAGTGCGACAGTAGAGCAGAGCAGCACAGTGTGTGTGTGTGTGTGTGTGTGTGTGTGTGTGTGTGTGTGACTCTAGGGAATGCATAGCTGCAGAGATCTCGGGCTCTGCTGGCCAGAGACATACTTTGACGTGACAGTCATGCAGCCTCTGCCAGTATTCTCCCATACAGAGGGATGGTTTGAAACAGAAAGAGTCATTTCATCTGAAAAGTCACCAGTGGTGAACCCCCCTCCAGGTAAATGCAATGCTGGTTACACCAGCTGCAGCAACTCTTTCTGGACATCCAGAGATGATATCCTGCAAAGATGGAAGGCAGTAAATATGTGTTCATTTAAATGAATGCACATTTGCATATGCCATAGACACAGCAACATGACAGTACTACTCTGAGATTCATGTTCACACACACACACACACACACACTTCACAGCATATTGTTCAGTTGTATAATGTTCCGGAGTGTTTTTTTTTTCTTGTGTCCAATTTGACATTTTTTCAGCAAACTGTTTAGGATATGTTCAAATTAAAATTCACAGACAGAGTTTGCACATAAAAATATTAAGTGTACCTGTACCTACATACATATGCCAATTCATGAAAGTATTAAATCATTTATGGCACATTATTACTTCATTTATGTGATAAACACAGGTGGATATTCACTTGAATCGGACTGTAAAACAGATTCAGCAAATTAGTCAATGTTATTTTTTCTTTTGTGTTGCAGGGCTGAAAAAAATGTGACCATTACTTTACCCACTGGAAGTGAGCAGGAGGAAACTGGCATCAGTGTTATCAAATGATAATCCAACATGAGGTGAGTTCTCAGATTAATCCAAATGTAAAAAGCAACACAAAACGTAGCCCATAAATATATTTGTACAATTTTTGGTGTTATTTTTTCTGATAGATTTATGTAGTTGCAACAAAGCATGCTGGTCTCAAAACAAAAGTCTTGATTCAGATTTAAATCAGACAGTGTTTCATAAGCACATAAACTATATTTGGGTACTATTGTCTTACTTTTTCAGATGCACAGGCAACGCGTAAAAAGACAGTATAAGTCATTATAATCCGTAATTATGTCCCCACTGAATGCAACAAATGCCTAGTTTATAATAGATTTTAATGTTTTTGTCTCGTCGCTCCGGGACACAGAATCACAGTATGGTAAGGGGCATAACATTTCCGTCACACGCTTGAGGTATTCGGCCAATCACAATGCACTGGATAGCTGGCCAATCACAGCACACCTCGCTTTTCAAAACGATGAGCTTTGTAAAAACCGACGCGTTTCAGAAAGGCGGGGCATAGAGGAGAAACAATAATGCACGGTATGTGGAAAATAATGTGTTTTTTGAACCTTAAACCGCATAAACACATTTCATTACACCAAATACACAAAATAATGTTATTTTTAGCAGCATCATATGACCCCTTTAAGTTCTTTCCCATCCTTTTTAAGTTCTTTATATTCTTTTTCATTACATTATAATATGTAGTCACACCCAGCCAGGACATATTTTAATTTTTAATTTTACTTTATAAACTCTGAATGTGCATACTTGGAAAGCTGACTAGCAAAGTTTGCAAATATAAGAAAAAAAAAAACACTAGAAAAAAATAGCAGTTAGTGCTAGCATGCATGCTATCAGTACACTATACCTGAATATCAGCAGCACACAGGCAATGCCCGGCTGTTTTATGCATACTCTGTGGCCCCTCCTCTCTTGTGCCTTGCTGTGGTGTGATTAGTGTTGGCCCTGAGGAACAAATGAAGTCTGGCGCCTGCGTTTGCATGATTACAGTTGGCCGTGGCAAAAAGGGAAGAGCCCACGAGGACAATAGATGTCAGTTTACAGCATGCCAGCCCATGCTTCTGCTGTGTATCAAACGTCCTGTATCGCTGTGTTTTATGTGACATGTTTGAATGCATATGGTGTCGTAAAATTAAATCTGTATTGGGCACTGTTCAAGCGCATTTCAATATAACAAAACAAGATATAGCATGTAAAAATATACATTCATGCATGTCACTGCATGATTTAGGTCTTATTAATAACATAAATATTTTAAATTTGAGAAGCAATTTGATTCACTGAACAATCCCTACCTCCTACAAAAAGTCTCTTATATAACCAGTCTTTTAATGATTTTCTATTTTTGTCTAATTTTCAAAAAGCTAGTTAGCCATGCACAACTACAGATGATTAAGCATTTTTGTATTCATTAAATATCCAAGCATCTTCAAGTGGAGCGCATAACAGCGACGTGCAATGTGGTTGTAAACCGCATCATCCTTTCCTTCTCAGAACAAAGAATATGCGCATGGTAATGCAATGCAAATGTATGCAGATTTCAAGCAGCAAGGGGGAGGAGTTGAGAGGGAAAGCAGAGGAGAGACTGTAGTGGAGGTTCACTGCAAATACACTGAACGTTTACATATATATATTCTCGGGGTACATTGTTTTAAAAATTCCAGTGGAATGTCGGATTTGAGATTAAAAGACATCAAAAAGTCATGCATATTAATTTAAAACCTTTGCATACATCCTACGACCTCTTATTATACAATCTACATACGTTTTGCTCATTGCTGCCTTCTTTATCACTTCCTTTGACATTTTTGACTGTGTATCATAGTCTTTTTTTCACCACAATGCTTTAGAAGTGATATAATATCACTGTTGCATTTTCAGAAAGATCTATTTAAATATAAAATATATAAATGAAATAAGAAGTGTAATACTTAGAGGTGTTAAATAACAAAACCCAAGACAATTTATTGCTAGGCTGAAAATAGAGGTATAGAGATTTCATTCAAGAAATTAATAATAGGTAAATAATTTCTTCCCCTTAAAATCTAGGTAGTGAATTTCAAACATTTTTTTCAACCTAATAAAATTTTGGGTTAAAAAAAAAATGAGGTCAGTGCTTTAGTTTTATCAGAATATGGCATTTATAAGTAAGTGTCTTGTTGGCTTTTCATTATTCCCAAAGAGAAATATTGCAAATATAAAAGCCCCTCCCCATTAACAGCCTGAAAATGGGACTTGATGAAGTAAACACTCACGTGACTGTAATATTAGTTTAGCCACTGAGCACCTTTAGAAAATATATCATAAAAAAATGATACAGTATATAATTCAATATGTTGATTTATTTTCTTTCTTTTTTCTACTCCATTTTTGGATCGCATGCACACTTTTGTGTGTGCTTTTCTTTAGACGTGCGACAACCTAGCCTGGGCATAATTTGCAAGGCATGTGTAGAGCATGAATACAATTTCTAAATGTGTGTGATTGGGTGTGGTTGTCTGTATGCATGTGTTTACCACTTCTTCCATTTCCGAAAAGATCAGTGATTTGTGTGCACCGGCACATGAAAGACCGTTAAAATAATGCCCATCCCCAGACAGGAGACTCAATACTGCGTTAGTCTGTGGCACACACACGTCTGGGCCTCTCCTCAGACACAATATGGCGATGTGTGTGTGTGTGTGTGTGTGTGTGTGTGTGTGTGTGTGTGTGTGTGTGTGTGTGCTCATGCACTCAGCATCCTGAGATACATTAATTTAGACTCTTTATGCACGGGTGTGTTTGAATCTTTTCTTTGAGGTTATGACAGCGAGCGCTGGCCCAACAGCTTCAAACCGTTGCACATCTTAGAAACACACTTTCACATATGTCATGTGCGAGGACGCAAATAAACACTGATTTTTTTAACATAGCCAAAATGCTTTTGTAATATTTAGTTATTTTGCACTATAGCTGTGGTTTAACAAAGATATATTGTGCTAGGTTGTGTCTAAGAATTGGAAAAGAAGACTGTGTGTCTGTGTGCAGGAAGAGTCGCAATGACAGTATGGCTCCGTCCATCATGCACACGCATACACAAAAAAATAAATACAAGCAGCCACAAAGCAACTCTCCTTCCCCATTTCAATACGCTCTCGTTCTCTGACATGGGCGGCTGTATCATTTTAATTGGGAGCTTAGACTGAGGTGAGATTGCCCCGTTTCTATTTATTTCATTTTGCTAACCTCACATCAGGCAGAACCGCACCAATGGGACCAACTGAATTGGATATGAAAATAGACAGGACGCATTTGTCGAGGGAGAAAAAGAGTGAGAGAGAGACAGCCGTCGTCTCCAGAGGAAGGCGCGCGAGGACGGAAAAGCTCATTTTTTGTGGCCACCCCGTGCCGTCTGCATTGCAGATCGGTGAAAATCCTTGTGAATATGATGGCGGGGCTCGGGAGAGGGTTTATGTTATCTGTGCCTTTGTTACGCTTTGTTTTTTTCTTTCTTTCCTTCCATATTTTTTCCTCTGTGGTCGCCATAAAATGTCAAGTTAATTTCCTGGGTGGTGTGAGCGACGCCTCGCCATGCACCATGTGTGTGACATGATGTGTGTGTGGTAGCTTGTGGGGGAAGAGGTTTGCAAGGAGGAGCTCATGCAATGTGCCACGTTACATGCAGGTGTGTGTGTGTGTTTCGCTCAAATTTTGTTACTATATACAGTATGTGCGTGGGGGGTATGCCTGCGTATTGTGCAAGCGAACAATTTCTGTTTCTTTGTGTGTGTGTGTGTGTGTGTGTGTGTGTGTGTGTGTGTGTGTGTGTGTGTGTGTGTGTGTAAATTAGCCGTCGCTGCTACACTGCGTTAGTGGAAGTTCCAGCACTTCGTTTGAATGCGACACATTGTGAAGGATTATGGGTTGATGATTTTCCAAGAGGATTCAGACCTGAACCGTAGGGTTCACAGACATCTCTCAGCAAAATTAAACTCCTACATCTAAATAAAACTAGTCTGCCTGAGAGTGTGTGTGTGTGTGTGATTGAGATATATGTACAGTATATATAGCGCATATGTATGTAGTCATATGTCACCATTTCTTAATATATATTTATTTAAGTGCACTGCAGCGAACTGTAATTTCCTGGAAATATATTGCTTACTTTGGGAAATAAAATAGAAAACTTATGTTTTCAAATGTTTTCATGTAAAATGACTAGTTGTAGTCTTTATATTCAACTGAAGTAGGTGTGTGATGAATAGTGAGGATTGCCAGTGATTTGACAAGCAAAAGTATAGTGAACACAATCCATTTTCACTGGATCCACATGGTTTTAGGTAAAAGGCTCCAAGGATGGTTATTAGTGTGGGATTTTGTGTCTATCATTTTGCTTTTTTCTGTGTGACGTGTGAATATAACTGTATATGCATTGTATATGATTTTTCCCTCTCTATTCCTCACAAACTGATTATCCTTGAGACTCACTCTGTCACACAAACCATTTCAAAATTGTGTGATTTCCATACAGAACGGCCTTGATGTACAGAGCACAAGCACTCTGGCAAATCTTCATGATCCATTAAAGTCTCCTCTTGTTCTTGCTCTCGGTGATGTTGTTCGTATCCATGATACCGTATGGCCACGGCCGAGGCGTGTTGATCGGGGAATTCAAATGCGCGAATATGCAGCGTAGGTGTGTGTATTCAAGAATGTATTCTGATAGACCTGAAAAATGTTGAAATGTGGAGGAAGGGATTAGGCATTTGTCACTCTCGCTTATGCTGATCTGTGTTTCTGCCCTACAAATGTCACATCCCATAAGTCGGAAAAATCTCTCCAGCCCTGCCTAATTGCACATATTCATGATGGCGCTTTGCATATCGCTTGTAGTGGATTGGGTAGCGGTGTGAGAGAGATATATGATGGCAAACGGGAGGGTGACTTCACCAATGACGGTAAGACGGTAAGGTGGGACCTCCACACCTTTTCGTAATGCCATTTAACTGCTATGAATCCA